CATTTAAGGCCATAATATAGGTTTTAAATATTCTTTTTTACTGTATTCCTTGAATAGTGCCAAGGAGCTTAGGGGTGACCATTATAGATCTTGCATTTAACTCTTCCTAGCAAAGAGAGATGTATGTCATGTTTTTCACATTGTAAATCTTGTAACCCGCAAGTCTAAAATTATAATAATAAATGATAGCACGATAGCCACTTGCTCCTTCAAAAAAAAAAAATAAATAAATAAATAAATAAATTATATGTGACTATTTTAATAAATAAAGAATTATTTAAAAATTATTATAATTAATTAAAAAAAGTTGTTATATATTAAATAAATTTGTTTTATATAATAAATTCTATCTATGATAAAATTTTTATTATTATATTTAATATTTTTTTCTAAATAAAATTTTTTTAATTTTTTTATCAAAATTTTAACACCAATACAATTTTTATAATTATAGTTATAGCAAGTAATTTGATATTAGTAAATTTTGTTTGGCATATGTTCAAGTATTTAAATATTAAATTTTATAAAATTATATTTACTATTTAAATTTTTATTTGATAAAATATAAAAAAAAAATTATTTTAATAAAAATTATAAAATTTAATATTAAATATTTATTTAAATTTAATAGAAGTTTTATAATATATATATTCTATTTTAAATAATAAATTTATTTAGTATATAAAATAAGTTTTAATAATAATAATAATAAATTTTTTATATTTAATTATTATTAATAATTAATTAAAATTCATTAATAATTATAATTAAAAGTTGTTTTATTTAAAAAAAAAAATTTATTGTATAAAATTATTTAATATTTTGTTAAATAATCTTTACTATTTATAATAATACAAACTTTGAAAGATATGTTATTAATAAGATTATATTTTTAATATTAATTAATGAATAGAAGAATAAAATATTATTATTATAAATAAAATTTATTATAAGAAACAAGTTTTTTTAATATGTAAAAATTAATATTATTAATAAAATAAAAGGTTATATATATACATGTATATAACTTATTTTTAATTAAATTTAAATATTTTATAATTTAAAAAAAAGCATATATTTTATTAAACAAAAATTTATAATATTTAATATTTAAATACTTTAATATATAGTATAGTAACCAAAATTTATTAATATCAAATTACTTGTTAAAATATTAGTTATAAAAATAAAGTAGGTGTTGAAATTTTGACAATAAAATTAAAAAATTTTCATTTAAAAAAAAATATTAAATGTAATGATAAATATTTGTTCAAATTTAATATAAATAGAAAATTTTATTATTTCTTAAATTTTATAAATAAACATTTATTTAAGTGGTTTTTATAAGATGATTTAAGAAAACTTTATATAAATTTTAATTGATATAAAAATATAATTTGATTATTTGAATAAAAAAAATTTTTTTAAAAACTTATTTCAAAAAAAATTAATTATATAATTAAATTTATATACTGTATATAATTTATATATACAATAATAATATTTTTAAATATTTGAATTATATATCTGATTTTATTATAAAATAATATTTTAAAAATCAAAATTATAAAACAGGTTTTATTTTAAATATAATTTTTCAAAAAAATCAAGATAATAAAATAAATTTGTATTGTAAATATTTCAAAAAAATTGAAAATCAAAGAATTTATTTAATTGCAAATAATAATAAAACTTAATTTATTATAATAATTTTTATTTGTAAACTAATATATTGGTAATACTGTATATATTTTTAATAAAGTGAATAATAAATAATATATTATTAAATGCGATGAAGTAAAATTAATCTTTCTATTTTTAATGAAATGTGATTAAACATTTATTCGTTCAATATAATTAACCTATATATTGTATTAATTGTCAATATCAAAATACAAGTTAAGATAATTCTTTATTATTAAATAAAATAAATAAATACAGTTTAAATCGTGATCTTTAAATTTTGAATAGTGTAAGGTTTATTTATTTACACACAAAAAAAAGAAAAGCTCGATCGATATATAATGCAGATAAAACATCTTGAATTATGAAAAAGCGTAAAACCAAAAGAAAAAAAAAAAAAACGAAAATTTAACTATGAAACTGAAAAATCAATTATTTATAGGTAGTTTTTCCGTGCCATTTGATCTTTCTCGCGAATCTCAGAAACACGCATTAGTGATCACGTGGCAGTTCAAGACGCTTGATTCTGTTTGGAGAGAAACGAAAGAAATATTTTTTTAGCACAAATTTAAGAAATGACCACACCAGAAGGTCAAGTGAAAGAACCCTTAAAGAAATAATCGTACCTTAGGATTCTCAGAACTACTCTTCCACCGCTCCGCGACAAGCTTGAAGGCAGCCTTGTGTTCAAGGTTCGGGTTCTCGGCTTTGACTTTTGGTAACTCGGACTTCATGAAAGCGTTATAAGGGGAAAGTTTTCTTTTACCACCTTTTCGTAAGGAAAAAAAAATTAGAAAGTGTAAATATATTAGATAGTATATGGAAACTCAGGAGAGCGTCTATATGGAAACATATGAACAGTCGCGCTATAGTAAACGCTTGCAAGTGGAGTATGGAAGTAGCAAAAAAAAGCGTGAAATGACGTGGAGTTGGAGGTCGGCTGTCCTCTCCAAAGAACTTTTTGTAGGAGAAATTTGAAAGGACACGCTCTTGAATTAAGAGCTTTTAAATTTCCCATATACTATAGAGATAAGCACCAAAATAACGAAAATACTCACCACTGGCAACCTTTTTAGCGGTCTTGGCTTTAGGCATTGTGAAGTTGTTAGTTGAGTAGAAGAAGTTTTGTAAGATGATGGGGGCACTCGAACTAAATTCTGCAACAAGAAAAGTAAGTGTGTTTGGGGAATAAGTTCGACAATATTTTTTTTGTCTGTTATATATGTTGTATATGGGGTACGGTCTTATGGGGGGATTGTTTTTTTTTCTGATTTCCATATCATCATATCAGTGCACCCGTATATACATTTGTAACATACATTATTCACACATAGTGGACAGCCCAACATATCTTACATATGAATCAACACCACATATACTACATATACTTTCAATGCTCACTAATATTAAATATTATAATAATCTCTCACGGCACACAAAACCTCACCTATGTATGACCGACCTGATACTATATTATTATAAATAGATAGATATATTGATGTCGTTATTTCATATTGTATGTCGTGTTGTAGTAATATATAAGTTTTATTATTTATTATATGATTTATAATAATAATTATTATTATATGGTTGTAACTCAGCCCAGAAACAGAGAATTGCCGCCTTTTATGAGAAAGTAAACGCACCAACAAGTATTAGTGAGAGGCCAAAAGCACAAATCCTATTTACGAATTATATGTCAAAAAAAAAAAAAAATATTATTATTGATTGGTAAGTTCCGGAACACTAATCCCTATTAAAAAGTCTTATCTCCATTCCGTCGCAGGTGCGTATGCTTCTCTTATCAACTTCGAATTTTCTCCTGCGCCACATGAGTTATTATTAATGCACATATATACATATGATGCAAGCTGAGCAAGTTTCATATACCAGATAAGATTGTTGAACCTGACACACAATAGTAAAATATTATTACCGTGTGTTGATGTACCCATTAGAACCACATGACCTTATAAGTGCATACTTATGTGGTAGTATATCATCATATATATAGATGATAGCAAAGTCATCTGATTCAGAAGTCCCCGTCGTGGAAAATCATGTTCGATTAAGGCTTTGTTACTTGTTTGTTGTGCCTTATATGTTTATGATTCGTTAAGCAAGAAAGATGAAGAAAACTTTTTGGAATTTTACGTAATTTTTAAGGCTGCTACCCTAATGAAACTGTCGTTTTGTATTACTCGACACTACGTACGTGTGCGTATCATAAAATGAAAACTTGGGACAAGTAAATGAGGTGCAAATATCTAGGGCGTATAACCAAATCCCTAAGTTTCATATTAAGCAAGTTGCATTCAAAAATCTACCCACACTTATTACACAACTCCTTCCTTTCTACGTATCAAAAGCAATTTATTCCGACGCACAGGGCTCACCGAGGCTTCTCATATTTTTTCGAGATGTTGATTGGCTGAACCTAGTAAAGTAATTATTCCATGTGTGAAATTAACGTTCAATTTTTGCCTGCTGGAATGAAATGTAAAGCCTGAATTCGTTTCTCCACGATATTACACGCGAGTTGTTGAAACGAGGGAGAACCGTTCGAACAGCCGTAATCGTTACATGCGCTTTTTTCGCACACTCTTTCTCAGGTGATCATGTGACGGGAATATTCGGACGCATTAGAAATATTATGAGCCAAAATTAGTAACTTTTTGTTTGCTTAATATTGGTAAGAAAGTTTTGACTCATTTATTGTTTTAAATCTCATTATTATTATTCTTACTATTAATTAATTAATTGATTGATTAATTACGTTGTTATCTTTTAATTAATTGATACTGTATGTTATTATTATTACTACAACTGATTGATCACTTTATTGATTTATTTAAACAAGATTTATTTTTAATTACTTATCTAAATAAACCTCTTTTTCAATCATTTTTAATAATGATACTTTAAATTATTAATTTAATTTTAATATAAATAAATTCAATAAATTATAAAGAATTTGCTTAAAATAATTTATACTATAAATTATATGTACTGTATATTTAACTTAATTGTATTGTATAATATACAGTATATTCTAAATGTTTTAATTTAATATGGAATCAAATGAGTATTATTTTTAATATACAAATACAAATATCAAATAAAATTAAATTTTTGACACGAAAAATAAATTATAATCCTTTGATTAAAATCTTTGTTAATAAAAATCATGGTTTTCAATTTATTTAAATAGATGGATTGAAAATTTTCTGCTTGGAACTGCAATTTCATTTTTTACCAATATCTGTTATTTGCTCTCATAAAAAACTGGACATAAATAATTATTAGCAAATAAGTAAAGCAAAATCATGTAATTTTAATAATATTCACAAAAAACTTTAAATATATCTTATTGATTATTATAAATTGTAAGTATCTGAAAATTTCCATGGAATCGTGAATATGATTTTTGATATGTGATCCAAAGCATAAATACTTCATCACGGCGTTCTATTTGTATTATCGTTAAATCGAAAAATAATTCATTGATTCAATTTCATCTTGTATTGTCCGTGTTAATCTGTAATCATACACATAATCAGTGATATCATCAGAATTTGAGGGTACCATTTGTTCTTATGTGAATATTTCTTCTTGACTTTTCCACATGCGGGCAAATTCATCTGCACACTTTGCACTAAAACTCACTCTTCTATAAATGGTTTGGTTTTTAAATTTGGTCGATACCTATTACTTTTTGTTGTAACTTCAAGGCAATTAACAGGTAAAGTATGTGCAAATAAACTTCACCTACATTCTCCAATCCTTGTTACAACCAGCCAAGAATGCATTTTTTAAGCTTGGATCTATAAAATTGGGCATTATATTACTTTTTTTCGTCAAGTTTTAAAATAGAAAAGGAGCTGTAAATGCTTGATGCTTAGAATAAATAAAATACACTAGACATAAAAACACAATATTATAAAAGCCCAAACGTATTATGGGGAGAGAATATTGTACAGTATTCCTTTTATCACCGGATCTTCAAAGTTCACAACATATTCAGTTAAAGTATCTTTTAGCTATTTAACAAATAATAATCAATATTGGCTAATTCAAAAAGATTCAATATTTTCTAAAATTTAAATATACCTTGAAAAACTTTGGATCGATTCTTTCCAATTTTTTTGTACTCCTTTCTCGGGATATGTATTTATGATAATTCATCACATGCCTTTCAGGAATAATGTTTGTAAATTGTGATGTAGGTCTTAAGCCCATAATATCGCTATGCAATAAGTATAATAAAACAATGAACCGACCGTTCATACAATTACCGAGCAGATTTTACTTAAATTCCTTTTCGCATTCTTCATAGTATTTTTCAAAAAATTAAAAAAAATCGACACCATCCACTTTCAGTGTGTCACCTTTTACTTCCACTTTTCCAACCATCAACAGCGCTACCTTCTTCAAATAGTCGTTATAATCAACAATATAGTTTCTTTGTAGTCCGGTATTCGTGATGAAGAAGCAACTTGAATGTTGTTATTGATTTTTGTTATTATATCAAATTCTGCATCATATTTTTGTAATTCTCGTTGTATTTCTAATTTATGATGACAATTAGTTGTTAAATCTACTTCTAATTGATACTCCCCGCGCCTTTGCGTATTGAGTATTTGAATAATGCACATATAATCTAGATACTCTTATAGATGCCCATTTCTCTCCTTACCGTTTTCCCAACATCTTTTTTATCTTAAAATGTCAGTATCGGATAAACTTTATCTGGGAACAAAAAAATTATTACTCGAACCGAAGATCATCACAAGAACAAACCAAAGATGTTCTTGCTAGAGTAACAAGAGGTCACCGCTCAAAAAAACCAGGTACTTAACCTCGAACGCGTCCAAAGCACTTTTTGCCTTGGCCTAGAGTTCATGTTCGTTCTGAAAGTAGTATAATAAAATAACATGTTTTTCGAGCTCTCTCAAAGTAGAAAAAAAAAAAAGAATTTTATATTTTAGATATTTTTTAAATATTACATCATTTCGGTCAAGACACAAGGTTCGCTAGCCATTTCTGGCAAGCACTATGTGGCGCAGATGCACGACGCGGTATCGCGTTACGTAATAATGATGTCTTTGCTGGATAACTGAATATCGATACTGTATTAATAAAAACTTCATTTGTAAAAAATAATATAAAAGAATTTTTTTATTAATGAATATTAATATTAATTAAAATAAATTTATTGGTATTTTAAAATAATAGTTAATAATATTTTTTAATATTAATAAATTTATATATTTGATTTTTTATTTAATTTATATCAAGTTTATTTAAAATTTTATTCAATATTTTTAAAAAAAATTTTTTTATAGAAAAATTTTATAATTTTATCAAATTACAAATAAAAAATAAATAATTTAAAAATTTTATAAAAAAAAATTTTTTTTTCTCAATCAGGTTGGTGTCATTTATTTATTAAATCAAAATAAATCATTACAAGTAAAAATATATAAATTTTCCTGATTTAGCTTACCCATTTGTAACATAAAGTCTCTAAATATAATTTATAGAAATAATATATTGCTTATCCATCCATTAATTAGAATTAAAATCTCATTTGTTTAATAAAATTAATGTATACAGATTATCTCTATAAAATTAAAAAATTTTTCTTATTATATACAGTATGAGTCATATATTTTTGGAATTTTTTTAACTTTGTATTTTATCTTAATATTAAATAAAAAAA